AGGAATTTGACCATACCAGATGCTATGTTATTCACAAAAAGGTTTAACTTTAAGGGTATTTTGAGAATTTCCAAGGGCAAACCCTAGAAATTCACACTATAAATACCCCATTATAAATCTTCATAAAGTGTTCAAAATCATAAAAAGAAAATACCCTATGCTTAGAAAAAGGTGACCGCGACATACTATTTTCCACCTTTTCCACTCGCCCATCCTTGGTTCCCTCCATAGTTAGGCTTCGCCGGAGCAGCGGGTAGGCCCTTAACAGAGGCTAGCTGCTGAAACAGCTATAGTGGTGGTCTGATGTCACAGCAAAGCTCTGTTATGGGAGTTTTTCTTCCTATTGTTCTTCATTTTCTTATCTTTTAAGGGCTTGTACTTAAAGATTGATTTTTGGGATGATATTTACCAGACCATGAACTGTTTTATTTGGTGTTAGATGATGCTTTGATGATATTTTATTCAATTGTTAAATAATGATTAAGTTTGTTTATGCTAAATGTTGTTTTGTTCGCTGTTTTAATATTTTTTCTTGGCACTGTAAGAGCTTTTGAGAGATTGTCATTTTTCTATGAGTTGATACCTAATATTAAGAGAGTTAGGTTAGATCCACGTGAATAAGGGAACTAATCCGGGATGGGGAGGTTTAAATCTGTCTTAGAGATAAGGAGAGGGTTTTATTTGACTAAAAAGGGTAAATGCTTGAGTAAGATAGGCGAAAAGCTACAGTTTACGCTGAGAGGTATTGTCACAGCAAGGGTTTGACAAACCAATGGTTGTAGTTCATGCCAAGTAGTATTGTCGTAGTTAAAGTCCTAGAATACTTTAGTAAATCATGTCGGACAACATAGGCATAATATACTAGATCATCCTAGACATAGAATAATTTCTCATCGTAGCAAATCCAAACCAAGTGCTCTGTTAGAAGTCTGATTGTGTGAGGTTGCCAGTTTATTTATAGAGTTTTGACAACTTTAGCCTTTACAACTTTTATTTGTTTATCTTTGCATATTTTTCTTGCCATGACAAAACTTTTTTACTCAATTCACTTTACAATTTTTCTTGCCTCGACCATACTTTTTTCCATCTGTTTATACCATTTGTCACTGCGTATTTTCTTTGTTTATATCATTAGATTTAGATACTTAGGATTAGTTAGTGACACCTATTCCTAATTGTAGAAATCTTTTAAAATCCCTTCAATCCCTGTAGAGACGATACTCACTCACTACTATATTACTTGCATTGAATGTGTATACTTGCATAGATTTGCTTGCCACAACACACACATTTATAACGCGATCACCTATATGTCCCCCTCTTGTTACTGGTAATCATCATTATATGATGACAAGGAGTAAGTATGGCATTTTTAAACCAAATTTTTTAGCATGTACCGTGGATAAAGAAAATGAGCCCAAGTCGATGCATGAGGCGTTGGAATCAAAGAAGTGGAGAGTTGTTGTGTTTGATGAGTTTGAGGCGTTAAAAATGGTACTTGGACGCTTGCTTCCCTGCTGAAGGGAGAACAAATGTAGGTTTCAAGTGGTTGTTCAAAATGAAAAGGAATGTTGATGGTAGGGTTCGACGTTATAAAGCTAGGTTAGTAGCTAAAGGTTTTTATAGGGTGCATGGCCAAGATTTTCAAGATATATTTAGCCTGGTGGTTAAAGCAGCAACAATCAATGTTATTATTGCTTTAGCAGTGCATAATAATTAGAATTTGAGGCAAGTCGATGTTAATAATGCCTTCTTCAATGGTGACCTACATGAGGAAGTTTTATGAAACAACCACCTGGGTTTGAACAAACAATTGAGGATGGTTCGATGTTGGTCTGTAAGTTGAAAAAGACTTTGTACGGGTTAAGGCAGGCCCCAAGAAACTGGTATGCTAAGCTCAAGGATTATTTGGTTGAGGTTGGATTTAAAAAATCACGAGCAAATTGCTCTTTGTTTATAAAAAAATAGTAATGGTGTTTTTACATATGCATTAGTATATGTTGATGATATAATTGTAACTAGTGGTCTAATTATGAGATTGTGAAGGTGGTGAAGTAGCTTGGTGAAAACTTTTTATTGAAGAACTTAGGAAATATTAGGTATTTTCTTGGTGTTGAGGTCAAAAGAATTGGTGACTCACTGATGTTAATTCAAAAGAAGTATATACAAGAGCTCTTAGTTAAAGTTCAAATGACAAATGCGAATTTTGTTCCAACTTCGGTGGTGTCATCCCTCAAGTTGTCAAAAGATGCTGGTAGTCCTTTGAAAAATCCCAGTGAATAACGAAGTTTGATTAGTGCTTTGTTTTATGTGTGTTATACAAGGCCTGATGTTGTATATAGTGTCAATAAGCTAGCACAATTTATGCATGCACCATGTGAGCAGCATATGACAGCAGCAAGGAGAGTGTTAAAAGATTTAAATTAGACTCTTGATTTTGGCTTGTGTTTACTTCTGCTGGAGAGGTTTGTAAGTTATCTACCTTTATTGATGTTGATTGGGGAGGCAATATGGATGATAAATGGTCAGTTTCAGGTAATTTTGTATACTTGGGAGACAACCTAGTGGTATGGAACTCTAAGAAACAGAAGACGATCTCGTGATCGACGATTGAAGCGGATTATAGAAGTCTTGCTGATACTACGTCAGAAGTAACTTGGGTTAAAGCATTGTTGAGTGATATGGGGGTCGAACTACGAGAGGTGCTAGTTGTATGGAGTGATAAATACAGTGCAATAGCCATGAGCTCGAATCCCATATATCATGCAAAGATAAAGCACATAGAGCTTGATGTACATTTTTTCCAAGAGAAAGTTACTGCAAACAGACTGCTTGTGAGTTATGTGCCTGTTGAACATCAAATTGCTGATAGTTTGATCAAATCATTGTCAAAGTCTTACTTTAATCTTTTTCGGAAAAAATTAGGTGTTTTATCTCCAGAAGAAGTGGAGAGCAGAATAAGCAAGGAGGATATTAAGCATGTGAAGTAAAGTAACAGATGTAACCTAGTGGTCATCCTGTTAAGGTGTTCAGTTAGGGCTAACTGATCACATGGCTACGTGTAATTGCTTTATATTTTGTGTATAATAGGAGATACTTTGTACTGCTTTAATTAGACTATTCTTGTATCATTACTTTCTCGAATAAAAGGTTGTTTTGTGGTTTTCTAACAAATCGCATCAACATTCTTCACAAGGGTGCGCAAATTATGATCGAGCAAAGAAGTAACCTCACGGCCCATAAAAGGGATCTTTTAACTTTCTTTGTACCCATTTGAATTCAACTCCTAACCCACCACTTGATAATTTCTTTCTAGAAATTCAAGTTTTAATTATCTCCATTACCATATCGAATCACTTTGGAGTTATCAAGTACCGATATTGGAGATTATTAAAACTTAAATTTTGAGGAAAGAAGATATCAATTAGTGGTTGGATTTTAATTATCTAATAGGAGATGGAAACGGATTGATGAACGTTGCTCGTAGTTGAAAAATTCAAGTCTAGGGATCTAGACTTAATGAAGAACACGATAGGAACAAGAATAGAGTTTATGCCCAAAACTAGAGTCATTGTTGCTAGAAAATTCAATCAAGAAGAAGGATTTTTAAGTATAAAGAATGACGATTAACAAAGATGAATAAAAGAACAAATAGAGAAACAAATAACAAAGATGAGAATATTTAGCCAAATTAGGGATTTGGTCGAAAAGTTCCTAACACAGAAATAAACAAGAATATGATCGTTAGAAAGATAATGAGTAATATATAATAGATATATGAAAAAAAAGAAACTGCATTGAAATTTTCTCCTGATATGTATGAAGTTTGCGTGAATTAGGTTTTTTTTGTGGTGGATGTGACATGATGATGATGGCTATGAATGATAGATTAATGTCCTAAGAACCATGAAATTGTAAATTGTAGTGCAGTTTCTAAGTAGGACCTTCGTCGTAACAATCAAAACAACCATAAGCAGCGAAGTCGGGATTACTATTATCCTTTCTTGTAACAAGAACCAAAAAGAGTTTCACTAATAAACTTTAGTGGAGAAAACAAAAATTTACTTAAACATTAGTGACCAATACATTTAATGTTTCACATTAATAATCAATCTGTTAAAGGTCTGACAGGATTAATATACGTTTTGAATTCAATGAGGAAAATTATATAAAACATAAATGAAAGTAATTAATCATGTAGTTTAGCTATTTTTTATATTATAATATTTTTGTTAAGTTTAATCTTTAAAAAAGAATTAATTATTTTTTATTTCTAATTTGATAACATTTGCTCAAGTAAGGAAGAAACTAAAATCTAAAGGAAAAAAAAAAGAAAAGAAAAAATATATCAAATAAACGAGGACACAGCAGAAAGCATAGACTTCACAGGAAAGAAGAAGAGGCTGGAACGATAAACTGAGAATAAAAAGCAGAAAATAGGAGGTAGAGTTCTTTCTTGTATGATTATTTTAATTAAAATTTAATATTATTTTTTGTTTTTAAAATTTATTAATTTTGATTTAGTTTCTATCACTGCCGTCAAGTTTTGCAGCGAAATTAAAGTCTGGCGGTGATCGGCTTTTGATTTCGATTCTTCTCTTTATGCAGTTTCTATGCAATTTCTCTTGTAATGGAACTACTTAACGTGTTAATTTAGTTTTAGAACAATTAAACGAGCAATTTAGTGTTGTTTACGTGATTTTTTTTTTTTGGCTAGAAGATCCTATTGAAATTTTCATTCGATCATGTTTTTATCCCTTTTATCCTTAATCCGTCTCACTGAGATCTAGGTGCTTAGTTTTTTTTTTTTATAGTTTTTTTATAGGTTTTATCAGTTTCAGTTTATTAATTGTTGAATTTCGTTGTTTCTGGATCGAGCAGTGGAGAGAAATTTGACTAATATTTTCTCCCAAGTCCATGCCTAGTATACGACGTCGTTTGGTGGGGTTCTCTTTTTCTCCCATCTTGTCTCGGGTTGTGTCGTGGCTCTCCCCTCCTCTTTGACTAGTAGAAAAAAAAACTTCGATTTTCACTGAAAAACACACTGAAACGGAGATGGGATCAGGGAGAAACGATTCGGGCGGGTCAGGCAACCCAGGTCCAAGTGGGGAATCGGAGCCCTCCGCCACGGTCGAGCCGCGGCGATTCCCTCTTGCAGCTCAACCAGAAATAATGAGAGCGGCGGAGAAAGACGACCAATACGCTTCCTTCGTCTACGACGCCTGCCGCGACGCCTTCCGGCACCTTTTCGGTATTCCATTTTTCAATATTTCCCCCTCTATTTCCTCCAGCAGTATCATTACACCTTGTAAAATATAAAGAACCGTAAATTTTTTTATAGGTACCAGAGTTGCGGTAGCTTATCAGAACGAGGTTAGTTCTAAATTTCGATCCTCAATATCTCACTAAAAAATATTTTATTTTTCAAAAATTCTAACATTTAAAAAAAATTAATTACGCAGACCAAACTCCTAGGTCAAATGCTTTACTATGTTTTAACAACAGGCTCTGGGCAGCAAACATTAGGAGAAGAATGCTGTGACATCACTCAGGTTTTATGATTTTGGAAACGAAATGAATTATATTTTCCTCAAAATATGCATCTGAATTTGTTCTTTGATAGCTAATATGGTGTTCTTTAGGTCGCTGGACCTCATGGCCTTTCCCCAACACCTGCTAGTATGGTGATCGGCTTTGGACTGATGTATTTTAGTGCTGTTGCATACAGATGCTGCCTATAGCTCGTGAATTATTGCAATGGGTTCTACGTGCTAACCTCATGTTCTTCTACTTTGAAGGTATTTAGAGCTTACTCATCTAGAGTTATTAATAACTTTTTGAATTGGAACTTTACTCATCTTAAAATTCCCAAATTCTCCCCTGACAAATCTTGGCAGGTCTCTATTATCATATATCCAAACGTGCGTCTGGCATTCGCTACGTATTCATAGGGAAGCCATCAAATCAAAGACCCAGGTACATGGTTCGCTACTTGCTTCTACAAATCTTGTTTGTTTTGATGCGGCATCTCTTCTTTAGTTCTTTACATGTGTGGAGCTCATCATCATGTGAGGGGAAGTTGGAGTGTACTGATGGTAACATTCTTGGCTGCGACTAACCTTAGGTACCAAATCCTGGGGATTTTCCTCTTAATTCAGCTATGCATTGTTGCTGCCGAAGGTCTGCGACGCAGCAACTTATCTTCAATTACAAGCTCAATTCATCAGACCTCATTGGGGACCCATCAAAACCCATCAGGTTAATTTGCAACAAGTTTCCTTATATTGCTTACGTAAACTTGCACCTTTCGAAATGAAAAGCTTCTTTATGCCAATTACCAATTGTCAAATGCTTGATGGTTAACCTATAACCTAAGCTTGCTTGCCTATAAAATTGAATCTTTTGGATTGTTGCTAGAATGAATATCAACTTAATTGTACAAAAGGTCCATCTCAATCATCTGAAATGAAGGGTCTAGGCTGTCTTAGTACTTCATGAAGCTCTCCAGATAGCTGATAGTAAACCTACTCTGTTCGCTAGGAAATATGTTTAAAGTCGTTTATTTTTCCTCATTTCATGCAGTTGTGCCATGAGAGATTGGCATGTATTGTTTGACACATTGTTGTTTGAGCCTGTAGGACAAGGTTTGCCTGTTTTAAACGAAGAAGGCAACTTGATACCAATGGAGGCTGACCGGGTTACATGGGTCGGTGAATCAACTTCAGAGATAAATTTTCAAGTTTATCTTAGTATTCTGTTTATGTATTTTGTTTTCATCGTCTTCCACTACTTTTATTTTCTTATTTCAATAATCATTGTCGGAAAGTGCTAGGTAAGAGATCTTAAGTACTAGGTGTTTGTGTTACTAGTCAATGGCGGATACAATTGATTAAATGTTTTAAACCATTATGGAGCATTAGTCTCATCATAAAAGGACTGTATCATTGATAAACAAATTCTCATCACCTTTCTGCTTATATTAACTAAGCTACTGCTTGTGCAAATTCAGTCAACATCTGTTGTTTGCAAATGCACCTTATGCCTAAGCAATCGACAATACCCGACAGCTACACCGTGCGGTCATGTATTCTGCTGGTATCTTTCCTTATTCCCCCCTTTTGCCTCACTAATCTTCGACGTGGCTTCTATATTTTGGGTGAAACTGCAAAAACTCATTCATATATCATGATCTGTCTGTAGGAACTGCATCATGGAATGGTGCAACGAAAAGCCCGAATGCCCATTATGCCGTACACCCATAACTCATTCAACTTTAGTTTGTTTATATCATTCAGATTTCTAGCTTTCGATTACGAGTGCTGCTGAAGTGAACACCCAGGAAGAGAGCCATATTCATAACAACTCACGTATCCTGCATTTTGCTGGTGAAAATGTATACAAAAAAGGGATTAGTGTGTGCGATTGGGATGATATCTGCATAAGTAGACCATACGTGCCATATCTGCATGGAATGTTGTTTCGATTTTTTTTATTTTTTAAATACTTTGTTCCAATATTCGTGTACAATATATATTCGGATATGGATACGAGAACATAACCTTTCAAGGATTCAATAATTTTATTTTTGAAAATTTTAGTTTAAATCTCAATCATTTTATTAACTTTATATCTTTTTTAAGTATTCAATCAATTATGAATTTTTATGTTAATTATTATATTAAATTTTCATTATATGTAAAAAAAAAATCACTATAAAACATCACTGTATATTTTCAAAATTTATTGCATATGAATTTCGAAATGAAACCTTGAAAGATACATTTGATCAGCCATTTTTCACGTAAATGAAAGCATTTATTGACTGGGATCATGTCCACAAGTCTCTTTAAAAAAACAGTATTTTCAAAAACTGTTGAGTTCCATTAACGAAGGCCCCTTTTCGTTTCTCTTCTCTCCTCTTCTCTTACCTCAATAAGAGTTGAACCTCTGCATGTCTACCAGCTTGTAAAGATCACCTCGCCGTTGTTTCGTGAAGGGAAGACTCGCCTTGAATTTGTATCACAAACCACCACTTAGAACGATCGAAAACATTATCGAATAGACGAATTCCATAGAACAAATACTAGCTGGAAAAGCCACCGGCGGTCACCTTCATTGCTCGAGTATCGAATAATCAATCTCCACTATTATTATGTTCTCTTCATGTTCAGTCGTTGCCAGAACTTCTCCAAACTATCACAATGCAAACAATTTAAGCATTACATATCCAGTTAGAAGGCTTATTAAAACCACAAAAAACATCATACACGAAAGCTGTATTCTTTAACCCGCGAACGAGCTATCAACTTACAGATTCCACAAGGGTTGATTGACCCCCAAGCCACGTAACCGGCTCCGGTATCTCGAGCACTTGAACAAGTTGCAACATATAGAGATATAAACAACCACGCTATTCGACATAGAAAAATAACATTTAACCAAGGAAATCAATCTTGGGTTGTACGTGTAGAGGGTTATAAAGAAAAGGAGATTTTTGTAAGCAGGTTGAGAATCATCTTCTTCCTGCCATTGGAAGGGAAACTTGAGCCTTTAAATGCAAGAATTTGTATTCTAGTTTCTAAGCTTAAATGCAGGTGATTGTAAGAACTCATATTCATGGTGTCAAGCTCTCTTGTCTCTTGGTCGATAACCGTTTCAAGAACTCGAATTTAGTGATCATGGTTGCCACGGCCCACGGACATGGACATCGAAGCACACCTCAGTCCCGATCCCCTGCAACAAACAGCCAATCCGCCAGTCACTAGCCATGGCTGCACTTAACCCTTGAATTGCAAGTAAGGTCCTTAAATCAGGCCTAAAACCAGATCCCCCAGTCACCCCGCTCTGTCTTTTCTGCACATAGATCATCTGAAACTATCCGAAATAAGCTTGTGTGTAACAGAGGAAGACACCCGAAAAACCGCATTCAACAATGATATCGAGATCCTGAATCCCCTATGTAATCCTTGAGTCACAATATTGAAACTTCCTAAATGCATCAAGATCATTCCTATATCTACAAGAATTCACATTCGGAAACACATACTTGCTACTGTTACCATTGTCGTTACCTTGAACAATAAGTCTTTGGCTCACATCGATCGGGGTACAGACGAGTTGTGCGGCTATAGCTGAACTTAACGCTGCAGCGGCACTAGCTATAGTGATGGCTGTAGTATCGGAAAATCCTAAACTAACAGTTGCAGTGCCAACACTGCTCTGGGTAACCACAAGGGCATCTAGACGCAAGATTTTATGTTAAAAGAGGTGAATATATAATTTTTAAGGGGAGAACTTATAAAAATTTAAGAGATCAACCTAAATTTTCAATTAAAAATATAAAAAAAATATTTTAAATATATAGATACTTAAAAATTCTAGGAGGAACGGTTGTCCTTACTCGTTTCTCTCTTGATCCATCTTTACATATAAAGTGCTCGAGACAGGATCGTCCCCATTATCAACGAGATAAACTAGATCATAAATTCTAATCCTCCAAACTCTAAAAATCATAAATTAATTCTTTAAATGTTAAAATATATAAATTATAATTTATATATCAAATAAATATTGAGTAAAATATACAAATGATCTTCTGATTATAAAGTGGTGCTTTGTTGAGTCCCCAACACTTACAAGTTACAAAATGATTTTTCGACTATAAGATGTTATTTTGTTGAGTCTCAACTATTAAATTTACGAAATGGTCATCCGACTATTCAAATATTTCAAACTCGTCTTTTCCGTTAAAATTTGACGACTGTCTGAGCTAAACGTTAATATACTGACTGAAATATGATAAAATTATATTTTTAATGATGTCTATTGGCACCATCATTGTTTTTAAACACTGACTCGGCGACATAATATTTCAAACATTGGCTTGACGGTATAATGTAAACGGAGAATCGATCCACAAAATATAACTCAAATGATTATGTCATCAGATCTTACCATATCCTAATCAATATGCTTACGTCCAGCTTAGACGACTGCCAATATTTTAATGGAAAAGAACGAATTTGGAACATATGAATAATCGAATAACTATTTTTGTAACTTTCAATAGTTACGAGACTCAACAAAGTAACGTTTCATAATCGAAAAATTAATATTTTATTATTTTTAATAGTTAAGAAACTTAATAAAATAATATCTTAGATTAGACAATAATTAATGTTGTAACTTTCAATAATAAATGAAATTAATAAAATAATATCTTATAATCAAATGTACTAAGAAAGAAAGAATAGCCATGTGTATTAAATGAATAAATAATTTAGGTATTCCTTCAAATGCCTTGTATTTTAATATTTTAGCTGCTATCTATTATATTTAATAAAATAGTTTTTTATCACGTTATCATTTATAACTGTTAAGTCAATTTAATAAATTTAATATTTTATTTATAAATGAAAAGGTTAGATTAATATTTTGTCAGTTTTAAACAAAAATATTAAACACAAAATAAATTTAAAAATTACATTAATTTTTTGAAAATTTTAAAAAATCTTTAATATTATTAAGCCTTTAATAATTTGTTTGCTATCAAATATGAGAATTTAGGTTCCTCATAATATTTAATCTGGTATAGGAAAATAATAATGAAAATATAGAATTTAAAATTAATTATTTTATATATTTATTAGACACATTTTTTAAAAGAAATATAATTTTATTATAATATATATAAGTTTAACTGTTTAATTTTATGTCAAATATTTAACGAACATGATAAATAAAATGAACAATTGTATTTTTTTACAATTAAAATATAAAAGTTAAATGAGAAAATTAATATTAAATTCGATTTTTTTAAAAAAAATAATTTTTAATTTTATTTCTGAAAATAATAAGATAATTAACATCTGTTTAGTATAATAGAAAATAAAAACTAAAAAGAAACTTATGAATAATACTAAAAAGAAGTGTTCTAAGTAGAAATGTAAAAAAAATGTACTAAAATCTCTAAGATATTACTTTGTTGAATCCCCATCTATAGAGAGATACTTTGTTAAGTCTTTCAATTATTAGAAGTTACAAAATGGTCACCTAATTATTCATCATGTTCTAAATTCGTCATTTTTCATTAAGAAATTAACGACAATTTGAGCTAGATCATGCCCATCCATTAGTAAGTGTATAATGTGACACGTCACAAAGCCCCAAAATTTAAGGATCCCATACTTTGGAAAAACTGCTAACTTAAAAAAAAATTGCAAGATTTAACTATTGTTTTTAATTTTCTCCCTTATTATTTCAACAATTCAATTATAATCAAAATCACCAAATTTATGGTATTTAACGAACAAAAAGATCTTAATTATATCAAACCTAATTTGAACTTTCTTAAATTTTGATATTTTACAATTTTACCTTATTATAATATATTTTAGGGGTCTCATTCCAATAAAGTAGCATAGGGCCCACATATTTTCTAAGACAAGCCTGAGTTGGACGTTAACATGCTGACTATGATATGATAGAATCTGATTTTATAATCTCAAACAACTATCATATGTCAGTCAACATGTTAATGTACAACTCATGCGACTGTTAATTTTTTAACGAAAAAAATGAGTTTAGAACATAATGAATAATCAAGTGACTTCTTTGTAACTTTTAATAATCGAGTGATTTAACAAAACAATTTCTTATAATCAAAGAATATTTTATAATTTTTAATAGTTAAACCAAAAAAATAATATCTAAGAGGGGCTATTTATGTAATTTACCCAAAATGTTTTTTTAAATAAAACCGCCTTATGAATCGCACAATTCTTGACCTTATAATTTTTTAATAATCGAGTGATTTAACAAAACAATTCCTTATAATCAAAGAATATTTTATAATTTTTAATAGTTAAACTCAAAAAAATAATATCTAATAGGGGCTATTTATGTAATTTACCCAAAATGTTTTTTTTAAATAAAACCACCTTATGAATCGCACATTTCTTGACCTGACAACACATTCTCGAAAGTCTCAAGACTCTTCCAGAATGTACAAAAATCTTCTCGAAAGCTCCCATCGCTATCATTTAAATGCATAAACCCCGTCCTCTTAAATCCAGCGAAAATCGGATCTTCAAAAGCCAAAGCATAAATCCTTCATCCTCATCCAAGAAGAGAAAAATGGATTTCAGAATCATGGGTTACAACTCCCCACTCCTCCACGCCCTCAACCACATGATGGATCTCCACGAAGACGACGCCAACAGGAACCCCAACGCTGCTTCTCGTGTATACGTCAGAGACGCCAAGGCCATGGCGGCAACTCCTGCAGATATCAGGGAAGACCCCAAGTCATACGTCTTCATCGTCGACATGCCGGGGCTGAAATCAGGGGACATGATAGTACAGGTGGAGGACGACAACGTGCTGTTGATCAGCGGTGAACGGATGCGAGAGGAAGAGAAAGAAGGGGCCAAGTACGTGAGAATGGAGAGGAGGGTCGGCAAATTTATGAGGAAGTTCGTGTTGCCGGAGAATGCTAATACGGATGCGATCTCGGCGGTTTGTCAAGATGGGGTTTTGACGGTCACCGTGGAGAAATTGCCGCCGCCGGAGCCTAAGAAACCCAAGACAATTGAGGTCAAGATATGTTGAGAAAGAGTGTGGTTTAGTGAATACTATTATGGTTTATATAATCGCCGTTGATGGGTTTAGGTTTGATGATCTGAGTTTACTTCCATGTTTGAATGTAAAGTTTACTTCCATGTTTGAATCTATTAAATAAACACGTTCAAATCATGGTATTATGCGAGTACGATGAGTTGTGTAGATGATTTTATAAAAATATAACTTTTTATTAAAATTTATCATATCCGTATATCAATTTCTTGTAAAAACAAAGTATATTTTTTTAAATTTACTATGTCCACGTGAAGACTTTTTAAACTGTAATAATTATTATATATTTATAAATAAATTTTGATCAAGTCTATCTTAAAATGATTTTGACTCGTGAATTATTTTACTAAATTTTCTTCTATAATGAATTTATAAAATTTCTATACAAAATATAAAATTTAAGCATACAATTTAAAATTTTAAAATATAAATTTGAAAGATACAATTAAATTTAAAATAGTTTGAACTTAAAAGATTTAATTTGATAAATAATTTAAAATTTTTAAGCTTAAATAATTTGGGAAATTAAAAATCTAGAATATTAGAGTTAAATATTTTAAGAATAAAATAGAAAATTTAATTAAAACTAAAATAACAAATGAAAAGTAAGATACTCTGACTCGACGGACAGAAAATAATCTTCAACCAAATAAATCGAACAATAAATAATAGTATTTTAGTGAATATAAAAATAGTTAAAAATTTAAAGAAAAATAATTAAAAATTTTAAAATAAATGTTAGTAAATATATTAAGGCAGAATGGGTTTCAACTAAATCTAATTTTTAAAAAATATTTAATCATATTATATCAGAATACATTGATTTCAAAATTTTTGCCTATCTTAAAAATAAGGTTTAATAAAATATAAGTGTTCAAATTATATCATTTATTAATATTAAACGTTTGAAGAATTTTTTACTTTAAATATGTGTATAACGTTTTTTTATTATAATTTTAAATATTTATGTTATAACGATTGTTAAAAAATTATTATTTAACTCATATGTTTATATTTTTTAAATGTTTTTGAGAAATATAAGAATATCATTAATTTTAGAAAAACAATTTTTTTTTTAAATTAAAAAAAATAAAAACCATAAAATCTTTCATTATAACTCTTATTATCATTCATCGTCGGTCATATCAACTGTCTTTACTATAGTAGAATAATTATCTATTTGTTGTCATACTTTCACCGTCAACCATTCCTTTTATCCTCAATCCAATCTCTTTAAATCAATAAATTCAAATACCTAAATTTAATTTCAAATTTACCATTAAAATGCGATTGGTTGAAGCATGAACTGTGAACAACAGGGAGGGATTTCCACGGACGAGGAAGGGGATTTGCAGGTGAGTGGGGATTTAGTTTTTTTTTTCTCTTAAAAAATGTTTTTTAATAATTTCTTTAATTTATTTCCAATAAAAATTTTGAAAATATATATAAATGTAATACGTGTTAGTGAAATATTTTTTAACTAGTGTTGCGACGGAAGTACTTAAAATTATAACGTTAAAAGCGTTAAACACTTATTTTTAAGCACCTAACAAAAAAGTATAGTTTAAGAACTTAATTTTATATTGAGCCTAGAGCTAATGAAAGTCTTGGTCTTCCACCTCGTTGAAATCCCAGTTCCTTTAAACTTCTTAGTGGAATGTATTATCTGGGACCCAAAATCATCTTTATCATTTTGGCCTTTCAGCATTAACATTGAAGCTTCCTTCAATGTCACTTGAAGTATATGGGGAAGCCACCTCTGCCTATTAATACATGCACGCAACCATTATCGGAACATCCTTCAGTTTAATTACCGAAATGTCTAATAACAGTTTTAGACCGCAACACACTTGAAAGTGACTTGTGCCGATCAATCCAAGTTCGATTTTCCTGAGGCTTACTTCACTTTTGACGGATGGTTGCAGGACGACTATACCGAAGCTACGATCCCAGGGCCGATTGAGAACAATATTCATCAAGCCATTGAAGTACTTGATGATTTTGCCGGCAATGGCAGCCTACTTATTCAAGAATCATATGGTAGCGGTAAGAAAAAGGTCATTCATTACAATCATCTAAAGCTCCACCTAGCATTACTGAGTATTATGATTCTTTGTTGTTGATTGTGTTCAATAGGAGAAACTGAAACTACCGAATCCAAAGAACGATATGCATTCAAGACAAAGTCCGAGGTTGAAATACTGGATGATGGGAACAGATGGACAAAGTATATGGGAAGAAGATGGTGAAGAACAGCCCAAATCCAAGGTATATCTACATTTATATTATGCATGTTTTGTTTTCAATCATTAAACTAAGCTAAATAAGTACCTGTTTTATGTTTGTTTGCGGAGTTCTTCATCGATTTCTTCGTATCTGATAAACAGGAACTACTACAGATGTTTGTATGAAGGATGCTCTGTGAAGAAAAGAGTTGAAAGAGATAAAGATGATCCAATTTATGTGATTACAACTTATGAGGGGATCCATAATCACCAGGGCATCTATTGAGTCAATGGTTTTCTTGTCAGCTTGGAGTTCTTTTCGATCACTAATACCCTCACAGCGAAGTCCTGCATAAGGCCAATATCAACCTGCATCGATGATCACATCAACTGCATACCTGAGTCATGTATTATGATTAGGAAATCTAAATCCTTTCCTAGGATGGTGAGCACATAACTGCAGCAGGAATAAACCATGGCAAGAGAAGTACAGAGATCAAATGGACATGAAATGATCATAAATTCATAATTCCTATTGGACTGTACAATCTTCCAACAAAAGTTGTGTATATGCAGGAATAGTAAAAATGCAGCAAAAAAGCAATTAAATAAAGACATCTTAATAAGTAGTCAAATGCTGCAATCTAAAATAAACTTTAAAACCTTAACTTCGACGATGACATCAGGGTTTCAAGAATGTGGACTTGAATCTGTCAATTCTTTCCAAGTAGTTCTTGCTTCATGAACATTACAGGATAGACTTCACAGCACATTTGCAGCCGGCACCTTTCTAGACACTGATTGGCAGATTCATACAATGGCCAATGACTTTGAATTTCTTTTCCCCATATTAGAGTTAGCTGTGCCAGTAGCCAGCAACAAACGGGTCCCAGATTGTCGCTGCAGTTTTCCCCCTAGATTATAGGGCTTCGGCATTTAACCCGGCAACATGGACCTCAAGGATTTTGAAAAATGGAGTACCTTCTCCTTTACCATATGCCTCCCATGATTCAGCATTTTCTTCGGTCTCCTAGCATTGTGCTATAGATTCCTTTCTCTGGAGGGACAAAAGCCCTCTCCACCTGAATTTAAGCAATCATGGAAGAGCCAACGGGTCCTTAGTTCCAAAGGGGGATCTCAAAGCAACCCATGCTTTCTAGCAGATGTTTCGTCGATACTCCAGCACCTAGCAATAACCACCCATCTCAATGTTATGGAAAAGTTCATTAGCATATTAACATATGATCATCTCTGAAATCCAGAATGTGAATTAGCTCTGAAAAAACAAGATAAATGCATAAATTCATCCCTGACATGAATGCATACCACTCCAACATGACAACCCTAGGTGCAGCTTCTAGTGCAATCTGTTGCAATGATTTCTCAGCAAATATCCTTCAAATACATTAAGCTATTTATTTACCTGCAAGAACATGTTCTCCGTTCCATGTGAAGCAAAGTTTAGCAGTCTCTGTAATATCAGTTACCCGATCTTGCAGAAAGTACATCTGCTCAGTATACTTGAATGAGACCATGTGGCCAACATTTTTAAAATTTCTGAAAGTGTGGAATTCATAGATCGCAAAACAATTCCATCCTTCCCTGGAATGAAATGTTAGAATCCACTTCTGTTGGCGGCAATTGACCTCATTCAGGGGAAAGCATAATTGGACTTCCAAATCCATCACTTCGAACATGAGGACTTTGGAACACCTTGTCATCTAAGCTCCCCTTGTGCATCAAAGCTCCAGTATCCAAGTCTTCAATCGCTTTGACAGCCCTCTGGCCTTTCAGTGACAACCTTTCTATCTTCTGTTCTTTGCCAGGCATTACAGAAGGGAAAGCAAAATCTTCATAATTATCCCCACAGCAAGGACCAGGAATAGGGGAATTGAACTCCTCTTCTCCTGTTTCAACGAAATCTAGGATGAAGCCACCAGAAGCTAGGGCTTCCTTTTCAAACTCTCTCAACAGACGCTCCCTAGGAGATTCAAGAGCACTATCAGAGTTGAAGCTAAATGGATCATGTTCAATTTCCAGCATCTTTAAGAAATCACTAGCCACAGTGTCAGCAAGGTCATCCAAACTTGGCAATTTTTTTGTTAATTTGCTAGCCCCGTAATATGATTTAGCCTCCATAAACTTTTCATGCTCAATAAACTCATCCAAAGTAGACGGAGATTCTGATATCGATGATTCTGTAACCAATTTGTCACTGAAAGCCGAGGAATATGTATTACTCTTTTCTTTTACATGGTCATCTACCACAGCCTCCACCATGCGACTGAAGCGGGACATTTTTGAAACTGGATCTGCCTCCTCGTCAATGTCTTTGTCACAATCTTTAAGGATCTCATCTACGTTGATGGTTTCAATGGAAGAGGCATCAATAGTCTGAATACCACTTTGTTCAATAGTAGTTGGATCTTTCAGACACATTTCTACACCCTGTTCAATAACAAAAAACTCGTTGTTTTCGTACTCATCTATATTTTTAGCAGACTTGGAATCAGGTTTAAGTGGCTCCAAATGTTCAGATAATTTATCTAAGCCCGATGAACCATCTAAGCTCTCTTCATTAAATTTCTGATATAAAATGCTTATCGATTTGGAAAGTTCCAGTCCCAAATTTGGAAAAACTTCAGTACCGAACTTTACATCAACTGACAGAGACCTGCGGTTTACATTACTTGGAACAGTTCCACAATGCTGAAGCATCTCATTCCCCTTGCTTGCATGAAGAACTCCGATCTCTCCCATTGTGCTTGACCCCGTCTCTGTTAGATTTACAAAATGTGATACATTCATATCGCCACTTGATTCAACTAAATTTTCCTTCATTACCATGAAACTGACATTTAGAGTAGCACCCTTAGCCTTGCCAGAAAGGTTAAAGCTTGTTGTCCATTTACCAGATCCTTTCTCCCCTTCTAGATCATCCAAACTAAGCGGCAACAGCCTTGTGAGATCAATCCAATGCTTTCCTATATCATGCCCCGGCATGTCAACAACAGAAGCACTGATTAGGAAAAGCTTGCTCTCATACTTTGCCAAATTATGAGGCCTGCTTTTACTACCATATACAAGACATTTATACATCAATATCTCTTCAAATTCAGCGATTCCATCCAAGACCCTCACTGCACGAGTCGACAGCAACTCATCCTTCCTCTTCCAATACACAAATAAGTTGAAGTCATTTAAACAGGCAGTCAAGCCTTCAATAGAATGCACATGGAGAAAGAAACAAATATGAAACCGATGTTGCATAATATGAGTTAATGCTTTCAAGGGCTTCTTCCAATCCCACGACGACGACGATTTCTTATCCTTATCAGATTCCGAAAGACGGGTACTTCTGACAGATTTAGAACTAAAATCGGATGTGGAAATCAAAGGTTTCGATGAGGGTTTATGCAAGTAAAGGGCTTTGCTTATTTCCTCAATGTCACGCAACAATTGACCATTATCAGAATCACCAGTACCATTTTTCTCATCAGCCTCTATTTTGAAGTTCATTTTCAAAGACAAACTTTAACCAAATATAACAGATATCTTCAACAACCTATTTGAATCATAAAACCATTCAAAAAAAAAAGATTACACGACAAATCATTGAAAACCCAGAAAGCAATCAGTCAAAGGAAACTAAAACCACTTACGTGATATCTGATCCTTCTTCTTCCTCCGTCAGATGAAACGGTGAAACCGAAGTACCTAATTGATATCAGTGACTCAACTTTTAACAAAAGCTATACCAATAGAATAGGAATCAAGAATAGTGAAATCCGGGAAATTGAAAATTGGTTAATAAAAGGTATAAAAAAAAAGAGGCGTTGTTGGCTTGGTTAGGGGATTTGGGATTTTTCTTGGGATCCTCCAATTTTTTTTTAGAAATTTTTTTTCTCGTGGAAGATGATGGAAAAGTTAATGCCTTTGTCTTGAGTATGAGCTTTGCTTAGTTGTGTTAGGCGAATATCAACTACTTTGCTAATGGATATAAGGGCTATTTTTTTTTATATATCACCGGTGAACAGTATATTTTTTGATCTAATATCAATCAGATTATATTTTTTGATCTAACATCTTTAGTAGTAAAGCGCGCCCCCTGCATCGTGTTATACGATGATTTGGCGTCACGTGGGATATAGCGCGCCCTTTGTACCGTGCTATACGATGATCTGGCATACACGTGGGTATAGCACAGCCCCTGCAGCGCGTTATACGCCACGTAGGGGTATAGCGCGGGGCAGGTATCGCGACATACCTTTACTCCTGACATAATTTTATATAGCGCGGGCAGGTACCGCGACATACCTTTACTCGATATAGCGCGGGGCAGGTACCACGTTTTGTATAAATTTCCTCGCTATAAATATCATTCTCCGTCGGTTAAGTTTCTCACATCTCTCCTCTCAACTTATAAATTAATACAACAATTCCGTCAACGAGTCAATAATTCTGGCAATCTTCTCATATTTTATTTAGAAGTTCGTACGATTTTTCGTTATAAGGTAATTTTGTTATAATTTTTATTATATTTATTGTTTATTATGATTATTTGAAAAAAATATTATACTAATTATTTTTAATTAATTTTTGTGTTTGTAAAATTGGAAAGCGGGAGAATACGTCGAAATAGTTTTGCGGTGCATGTAATAATATTAAATTATATTATTTAATTTATTTACGTTGATGTGTAAAAATTTTATTGTGTTATATGTTCGTTCATATATAATTTATTAAATCAGGTTTGTTTCATTTTTTTTTGCAGATATAATAGTGCCGCACTTTTAAACTCAAATAATGGCGCGACTTTCAGCTATTGTTTATTATGATGGTGAAATTCGAGAAGATGTAACCGGCGTTGTTTTCGTATCAAATGAGCGTGTTAAAATATCATTCAAGAGAAACATAACTCTTGAGGAGCTGATAACGAAGATTTCGAGGAAGATTCATGTTGGAAGTAGTAGAAGAATGTCGTCGTTGCAGTACAGATTTCCAACATCATTGTTGCCATTAACTTATACAGCGTTCGAACTTTCGAACAATGATGATGTTCAAATGATGGTTGAAGCTCAAAGTAATTATTCAGACGCCGCTATTGAGATGTATGCATATTTTGTTCAAGTATGTGTTGTTCGGGGTCAATCTTTAAGCTCACACTATGGGTTAGCTGAACAAGTTGATCAAGTTGACAGCCCTACTACAGTAATGTGTAATGATTTTAATGCCATAATGGGGAGACATTCATCTGCAACTCCTTACAATATGTACCGAGGTGGGTCCATGAACAATCCGTATGGCAACACCGCGTCCAGTTCAAGGGGAATGCATTCATCTGTAAATTTCTTTGACCATATGGAGATGCCATCGACGCAACCATCTGTGCAGTTTCCATTTGACACGATGGCTTCAAGCTCCAGGGGGAGGCATTCGACTGCGAGCTTTTTCGATCTCAATGTCGATATGCCTTCCAGTTCAAGGGGAAGGCGTGCAAGTAGTAGGTTCTTCGACCTAAATGTGGAGAGCATAGAGGAACCATCATCTCCACCAGAAGAACCGCTTCGTGAGCCTGGTGCGGATGGTGCTGAGACTGGACTATTCATTCACCCAGAATCACCGCAATTCAACTCCGATGATGATGAAGTTCCAGGAAATGTGGCACAAACTGACCCTCCTGCACATATGTATGAAGCTGATTATGGTGCAATGTACGGGCCAGAATTTGCGGATATGTCTCATCTCGGTGACTATGGGTATTACTCATCAATAAATAATGGTGAGTTATCTTTAGGCATGGAGTTTTCAAGCAAAGAAGAAGCGATGATGGCTATCAAAAATTACAACATCCGTAATTCTGTTCAGTCCAGAGTAGACCGCTCCACGACCGAAAAATATGTATGCTACTGTGCCCAGCGTGAAAACGGATGCAATTGGATGGTTCGCGTATCGAAGAGGAAGAGGAAAAACAACAGATGGGAACTAACAGTATACAACGGTCCTCACACATGTTGTGCTGGAGGGGTCAACCAAGATCATCCCAACTTGGACTCTGAAGTGATATGTCAAGCCATCATGCCCATGGTCAAAGCAAGCTCTCATATAGTTGTTGCAGTGTTGGTTTCAGCTATACAATCGCAGTATGGGTACACTGTCTCCTATAAAAAAGCTTGGTTGGCAAAACAAAATGCCATTGTCAAACTTCATAGCGAATGGGATGCATCTTACAACAAACTTCCAGGTTGGTTTAGGCTGGTGCGAACGTTGAATCCTGGAACAATTGTGGACTTCGAAACATCCTATGCATACCATAATGATCGAGTTCTTCGCGATCGATATCAATTCTACCGGGTTTTTTGGAGTTACCCACAGTGCGTTAATGCTGTCAAATACTGCAAGCCTGTGGTCCAGATCGACGGGACTTTCTTGTATGGAAAATACAAGCAAGTTTTATTATTGGCAGTTGTCCAAGATGGCAATCGCAACATTCTTCCAGTTGCTTTTTCTCTTGTCGAAGGAGAAGATACAGCTTCTTGGGCTTTTTTCCTCCGAAATTTACGGGCACATGTTATCACGAGGGAAAACATATGTGTCATTTCAGATCGCGGAGCTGGGATCAAAGTAGTATTGGAGTCTTTGGGTTCAATGTGGCAACCACCCTTTGTACAACATAGGTATTGTCTTCGACACATTGCCGCGAACTACCATGGAAGGTACAAGAAGAATGATGAGCGTCAATTAATTGTGCGCATGGGTAAGTGAAACTTAGCAAGTTTGTTTTCTTTCGATAGTTTTAATTTTGCAAAGACAACAAGTTAGTAAGTTATACTTTTTTTGATCAGGTTACGAACTACTTCCTCGAACGTTTGAATCAATGTTTCAAGAGTTGCGGGCGAAGAACGAGGAAGGATATGATTACATCAGCCTCATCGATAAAGAAAAGTGGACGAACGCATATGATGGTGGATATCGATGTGGACACATGACGACCAACTTGGTAGAGGCAATCAATTCAAACTTAAAGGGTGCACGTCACTTACCAGTAGCGGCTTTGGTAAAGACTACATATTTTCATTTGGGGGCACTTTTTACGAAGCTCGGGGGATAAGCTCAAACCTGGATGCAAGGCGGTCATGTGTATCACCCTAGATTAGTTGCAGATCTACAGAAAAAAATTGTTGCATCAAATGTGTTGAGTTAATCGATTGACGGAATTGGCCAAGAGGGGGGTGAATTGGCAATTAAAAATTTGGTGGAAGCTTTTGCAGAAAATTAAAAGTAATTGCATAGCGATTTAGAGTGGTTCGACTTTCTCAATCAAAGTCTACGTCCACTACCTTAGCTATCCACACTAAGGATTTTCCAACAAATTCACTAATTTGTTCTTTCTTTTGAGGCCAAAGAGATAACCTTACAACACCCTCAAGAATATACCCCAATTCTTGAGAACACTCTTTCCCAAAGAGAAGATTACAAATTTGCAAACTCTCAAGGAAATCCTCACAAGGTAGATTGTTTGCATAATTCTAGAACAAGAAAAGAACACTCCAAAATAATTACAAATGAGCACAAATGGTGTTCTTGAAAGCAAAATGAATATTGAAAGGAAAATTGGCTTGATTTGCACAAACTTGGTGTTTGATGCTTTCTCTCTTGTTTCTCTATAATTTCTTATTGATCAAAGGCTTCAGAACTTGTTTAAATACTCCCTCAATTGATTCTGAACGTTGGGGATTATTACTGGAGTCAATGGAGCCGTTTAAGTGTGAAAACCATTAATACAACAGCTTGGAGCGTGGGGGAATTGGTACCCCTCATGGGGAATCGGTTCCCTAAGTGTAAAATTCAAATATTTTGATCGTTGAACAGTGGGGGAATCGGTACCCCCTGGGGGGAATCGGTTCCCTCCGAGCATACTGGAATTCTTGGAGCCAAACCATTCAGGGGGAATCGGTACCCCCTTGGGGGGGAATCGGTTCCCTCTGGACATTCTGGAATTTTTGGCTTTGAAACGGTTCAAAATACTTTGTAAAATTGTTTTGAAATTATTTTAAGATTAAAACTTAATTTTACACTTGAGTAAGGATTAAAAATGACTTTTAAAAGATTTGGAGTAATATTTTGTTATTAGAATAATTGTATCGAATATACTTAGAAAACCTTATTGGAAAATCTTAAAATTCATTTATCTTAATTTGTTATATCGAAATATCAAAATGTTTTCAACAATCTCCCCCTTTTTGATATAACAAAACATTTTAGTAATTTTAGGATTTTGAAATTAAAAAAAACGACGTTTTGAAAAATTACTCCCCTTTACTTTAACACTTCTCCTCTTTAAAACATTTAACACTTCTCCCCCTTTTTGTTAAATCAAAAAGACATTTTAAAAGAATTTAAACAAGGTTTTCAAATCATTTAGCCAATTGATTATATATAGTTTAAGCTGCTAAGATCACAATCAAGAGAAACATTAGCCATTAGTTTCATAATCAATATTCATAAACAATGTGACATGTCAAAATTGGTCATAATGCAACTAATATGTAAATGATGCAAAAATAAACATTAAGCACAAAATGAAAGTTAAAACCAAACCAAATATATAAGCACGTAAGTTCAAATATCCAATTATCCATCAAATACAAACATCCAAAAATAAAACAATCCATGAACATCAAAATGTTTCACAATTCAAAGTTTTGAGTTCGGGAGATAAATCCATTGTCCCGTTTCCTTATCCTTATCCTTTTTCCATCTTGCTTTCTTTAAAGAAGTAAGATTGATTTGGTTTTGAAGAGGAATAGGAATATCAGAAGAGAACCTAAGACCACGTTTGATAAACAAATTACTAAGGAGACAACCATAAACCAAGGTTTCTATATTCTTGGAAGAAATA